AAATTCTTGAATATTCAGCATTTCTGTGATGAGAAACTAGCAGTTCTCACTCTGTCAAAATAGTTTTGTAAAATAACAATCACTTTGAAAAAGGTATGGCATCCTTTGCATCAAACTTTCATCGGTAACTTTGTGCAGTAATTGTTTCCATTTCCATTGTTTGTCTTGAAGGATGCCCCTAAGAGATAGTCTTATTAATACTGAATTTTTATAACGCAAAATGTTAAATAACGAAATTTAGATATATGATCCAATGACCAGAACAGTGATGTGCCACTGTTTCTACCGAAGGGGATAGTTATGAAAAAGTATTATAATTGGCTCTAAATCGATAGCGCACGAGCACTAGGATGTTAAAAAGTTAATAATGATAAATGTTAAAAAGTTACTAATTAATGTTAATGTTAAAAATTAAATGTTAAAAATGTTAAAAATTAATGAAATTAATTAATTATGTTAAAAAGATGTTAAAAAGATTAATGTTAAAAAGATGAAATTAAATACCAGCATTTATTGATGTTCTCAAAAGTATAGATCATTTTCAGAAGTGAACATCTAAGAAAGGTAATCATCACTACAGAGTTTATTGTAAATATGAAGATTACTGATATAATTTGATGACTAATATATAATAATGGTTAATAATGGTTACTATTCTCTGTAAATTTACGGAAATCACATAAGGAGAGAAATCAAAGTGATCATGTCATAATAAATAATAACTTGATATATCTTAACTTGATGGGTGTCAAAATAAATAACTAGTTAAAATATTTCATCTCGAAAAGAGCTCAGTGCCAATAAAACATATTTCTTCTTAATTTGATTCTTAATTTCTTCTTAATTCTTTAATGAAAACATATTTTCTTAAAAAGCATGATAGACAAGCGATCGAGACCATAAGATTTGAACATGCTGAGAAGAGCGTTGTCGTAAACTGGTTTCATAGATTGCTCTTGAGTATGCTTCGTAATGATTATTCGTATGAGGACTAGATTTTTGTACCGCGTTTCTCTCCATAGTTGAAACTTGGAGTTACTTAAAATTTCAATATACTTTATTTCGAATTCTTTTACGCATCATAATAACGCTTTAATGAAGATTGTAAATTGAGCTAAAAATAAATATTGCATTTAAAGTTAAATTAATATCGCTTAGAATAATAAATTAATATCATGAGAAAACTAAAATTTCTTATGCCTTACTGCCAATAGTGAACAGCATGTCTACGGAAGCCATGAGAGCAGCTGCAAGCGATCTAGTCGAGTATTCAGCAGTTATTTAAACGTCAAGGAACGTCATTTAACACAGAAAATCTGCAATATAATGGATATGCTCTCCCAGCACGGAAACATATACTGCGGTAGGTATTAAAATAATTCAGAGCATAGCAATTTACTACGACATTTATTTTACAGTATAAACATTACTTCCTAAACTGATAATATGTTAATTTATTTAAACATAGTATCATAGAATCTCTGACACTATATATAAACCAATCAACATATTAAACACTGAAGATATGAACTGACGTGACCTGACTCATGGACATACGAGCTGATGTTTCGTCTTGAATATGAAATGTTCCTAGAATTATTTTGTCCACATTAATTTAGGATTTTAAGCATAATTAAGAATAGAATTTAGTAATTCATTTATATAGAGGCTGCTCACGCATATTATAGATAAATACTTTTCTGGGCAAGGATCGTGTGCTGACAATATCATGGGATGAACTAGAAATTTGCGCTGGCATGATAAGGTATTCTGTCAGTAATACAGAGGCAGTTCACACATTTTTTAGACGATGTATATTGTATTCACAAAACTAAATTACATAAAATTCTTGTGTTTTAAATGTTCTATTTGACATCCCTTATTCTGAACTATCTTTCGACACCGCAATTTCCAGGATAATAATGCCTTTTGAAGTGGCAGAAGAGATATTCTATCCCATTCCTCCCGAACAGCTTTCCAGAGTCCTGTTAGGGTTTTGGGACAGCGTTTGGATAATGCAGTTTTTAAAAGGTCAGAAAACACAAAAATCCTTAGCTGACACATCGGGAGATTTAGTAGGGATATCAGTGAAGGGTTATGACCTTGATACCAATTTTTTGTTCCATTTCTTTTAGGAAATTTACAGTGGATTTTGATGTGTGACTGCTAGCTTTGTCCTGATGGAGTCTCACAGATGGATGGCACTGTGGGTAAAGCGATGGTATTTCATTCAGAAACATTGGCGATAAAATATGTTCCTGATAGCATTTGGGGTTAATCTTGACATTTTTTTGCACTCTCTTTATTTTTAACTTGCCATTATAAGAAAAAGCAGCAACAATCATGAATCCCTTAGAAAAACTTTCTTTCTATTCTTTGAACCATGTACTCAAATTTTTTTCTCCCCTTTTATGATAATAAATGGCCCTTTTTTTTTTTGTTACAGTCATTTAAATACACCAGGCTTCATCTATTGTGACAATTGTCTTCCATTTTTCTTTGGATAAGTGTTTCTCATATAGAATTCTGCAGCGTGTCCTGCGTCGAGCGATATGCTTTGGAAGAAGACGATGCACATTGCATTTTTTCGCTTTCTTAAGATTTAAATCAACGTTTATCATTTTTTTTACAGTGGACACCGAGCATTTTAATGATTTTGAAATGTCCTTTGAGTAGGGGGATTTTCTTTTAAAATTAAACAACGTGCCTTTGCAACAGTCGAAGATGTCCGTTTTTTCCTTGGATACTTGTTTGGAATTTTCGTCCCACTTGAGGCTCTAATTTGACATTTGTTTCCTTCCTTGTTGATGATATTACCTATCGACGCTTTAGATATCACAAAACCATGACTCTCACATCGTTTTTGGATAACGGAGTATGCATATTTCTCTTCGGAAAGAGCGTTAATGTAGCCTTCGAACCACTGCTTTGTTAAATTCGCCATTTTGAATAAAAACAAAACTTTCAAGCCAGAGACGATAATTTTGACTTTTAAAAACTTAGTACAATTGCAATTACTTCTTTTGCAGCAAAAGATTTTTTATTAGCGCTTACCAAAATCGTCTAAAAAATGTGCGAACAGCCTCTGTGCATCTACGTAGTAACTATATGTACATAATGCTCGATTGAGTGAATTCTATTATATTTTGCCTATTTACATCTCACCTTGTGAGTCGACTGGAGGCAACAGCCGGCGTAATGGTTAAGACCTATTCTTAGACAGACTCCGTTCCAGGGGTATATAATTAGTCTACAGAGTGACTATAAGCATCGATTCTTCAGTGGCAGGTAGAATCATCGTTACTTATCAACATATTCATCATCTATCATTGTCCTGCGTAGCACTTCATATCTTATCTTACCATCGTCCTGGATAGCACTTCTTCGTCACCCATCCTCATTTTCATCTCTTTTTTCATCCATCACCTACATCATCATAGATTTCCTATATATATATATATCATCGTCAACTGCCATGCACTTTATTGCTAGACTACAACATCATCTCCTTCCATCTTTGCAATCCTTCTTCCTTATCGTCTTCTTCATCAAGCAGTGCATAGTTCCAATACTGTCAAGAATTATGATTATCAAAAACTTCCTTTGTTTGACACTAAAAGACTAGTCTCATCTGACACTTCAAACTCAGACTTTCTATATACCTTTTATTATTAACTCTTGACTACAGACTAAAGACTCTTTGATTTTTGATTTTTCAAAATTTTCCTAAAACTTCTCTATTGTCATTATTTTTAATTTTTTTATTTAATCCTTAGTTTTACAAAATTCCAAATTTTTTGTTTTAAGACAATTACTATGTTACAGCTTTATGTATTTATTATTCACGTACATTTTTCAAAATCCATTAATAAATGTAGCGGAAGGTAGATGGTTCCATCAGTTAAGCAATAAAGCTGAAAAGTCGTAACCGCGATACAGCTGGCTTAAATGACGGTCTCCGGTGGTAGGTAGAGGCTTGAGAGGGACTATACTTGTACTGTCTTTGTCTGCCATTGGTTGTGGGGGAGCTAGATGTTGGATATTGAAGGCTATCCTTGGGGGTTTTGCCCCCCTTGATCAGCACATGGAGGTAGGAAGTTAGATCCATGGAGGTCCTATCATACCTCCATGGATCAGCACTGGGAGACAGTCTTTGACTTGATTTCGCTCTCCTTGTAGCTCGGTCTCCATTGACTTGTATACTTGAAACTTTAATTGTGTGAAATTTTGTCTTCCTGGGTTGAGAGGGGGTTAGGCATTTTTGGATCGTCTGTAGAGCAGGTGGCGCAATTAACTTTATAAGGGCTTTAAAAAGGCCCAGATCTAGGAGCCTCCTTCTCTGGTGTATTGCCTATTTAAATTGCTGTATCCTGTTGCATGTATCTTAATTTTATGTAGATAATCTTAGTAGGACCATTTAGTGTAAGCATGTAACTTACAGTGTCAGAGTTGCTTGCTACCAGATGAACAACGGAAATACATTTAGAGATAGAGTGCCCTCTGCTCGCCCTCTGCGACAGCTTGCTTTCCTACCGGGCGCTTTTCCACTTGATATTGGCGGGCGTGGCACAAAACTGACTAACCTATGTTAAATAGACAATACCCCGTCCTCCTCCCACACTCAGCAGCCAACAGTACATTTTGCTGACAGTTCATAATAAATCAAAATTAGTCAATGTTCTGAAGCTTTTACATCCAGCTTCTTGTGAATCCAATTAGCTGAGGTGGAGTAAATCAATTGTTGAATAAAATTCATTCTACAATGCAGTGACTTTTGATTGATTGTTTGATTTAAATCCAAAAGAAATAATAAAGACTGATTTGTTGCTCTATTCAAAGTATTTACTAATGGGTTTTGTGTAATATCATAATAATAATCATGTGTTTAGCCATGGACTAATATCTCTCAGTATAAAACAATACTGAAAGTTTTAATGTAAAGATTTTGATCACTGTGCAAATATTTTTGCAAACCTTTGAAGAAAATCACAGAATCAACATTTTATTTAAAAACATTTATTACTACAGATTACATATACATACATTTTCTATTTACAAAATCGGTTTTTCCGAAGTGATATATTACTTTAATGACTATGTACAGGTATTGAAATACGTGGATTTGAAATTACGAGGTAGTCCCTCATATTATGCACCACGATATCTTTGGTACAATACATGCTTTTAAAATACAAGTTTCCTGAAATTTCAAACTCAGTTCATAATCATACGTTACGTGATTAATTGTTACTGCAGGCAACAGTTCTTTTTTCTGAAACATAATCACAGCACAGACAAAATTTCTATACTATGAGATGAAAGTTTACATTATCCACACAGACATGATAGTAGTACTAAACTGTTTAAAACTGTATTTGTTGTTGTATTGTAATGCCTGTTTAAAACATTTAATGGATGTTAATTTAAGGGAAAGTAAATTATGTTCTCTTCAATACAGAGTGTTAGTTAACTTTTAAAAAATGCACTGTTTTAATATTAAAAGTTACGCCGCTACGAAACATGACACTACATTCTTCATATTTGCAGGTATTCGAAATAAAAAATGCGAAAAAATCATACTACATGTTCTGAAGTGGCTATCTGCATTGTCAGAATTACGTCTAAGGGCAATAAATATGTTCAAGGAAATTAATCGTAGTTTATTCCGGATATATAACTGAAGTTCATATATGCGTCGAACAAAAAAAAATATATTTTAACAAATATACATGCTTCGTTCTCTTTATTTAAATTTATGAAAAATTAGAGCTCAGACATTATGTTTTACTAGAGATTAAATTGGAATGATTAAAGATATTGATAAATCTTTGGAGAAACTTTCCCCTTAGTGCAACAAAAAAATTTAAAAAATAGCCTTTTAATTATTAATTTTTTAATTCTTTATTCTAACTCAATCTCTTATACTCTTTTTCTTTATTCTAACTCAAAACTATAACGGATATATTCTGATCTAATCATATCTAACCCCCTCCTCCCCCCCAAAAAAACTCGAACGTATTTACTCGGGTGCGCTGAAACACGTTAGTTCAGTGTACCCGAGTTAACTCGGTTCAGTGCGTTAAAAGGTTAATAAAACATGTGAATAATGTGTAGATATGAAATATTACAGATACGACAGTTCTCATTAAGATTCACTCCTGAATTCGTTTTGCTTAAATATGTTGGGAAATGTAAATCAGTAACGTATTAACACCATTTCTTGCGTGTTTCTACGTATTTATTCTAAATTAGTCTGCGAATTTAAATAAATTTTAGTTCTTTTGGAACATTTAAAAACTGAAAAATCAATTGCCGTTATTTTGAAAAGCACGTGTTAACCAATATTGACTAAAATTGCTCGCTGGTAAAAGTAGGCGAGCTATTCTGTGAGATAAGACAGCTCTTTTTGCCCGACCAGATATTGTGTCGCCGTGCGGAGAGAGTATCTTGGAGGTAACTGAACAATCCGCTCAGCGGAGTCTCATTCAAACCATGTGTAAGTTAGCCAAAAGTTGCGCTGTTTCGGATTCACTCAAACCCGAGGGTATCTGAAGTAAGCCATCTGCTCGGGATGTCATTCCTCCCATACGATGAGCTGTTTCAGACGTCATCATGTTACCCATGGCGTTGTTCTGTTGACCTTGAGGTATATTGTGCATGTTATGCTGTTGCATCTGTTGTTGTAATTGTTGCATTTGTTGCATCTGTTGCATCTGAACCATCTGCCTTGGGGGAGGAGCCGCTGTCAGAATCTAGGCATAAATAAAGAACTGTGAGAACTATGAAAATTCCCGATCGAGTGCATTTTCACTTGAAGTAACATGTTAAATACACAGTTAAATTACACAGTGCAAAATTACACAAAACGCACCCAAGTTAAATTACACAGAACAAAGACCGATGATACCTTGGCCTCCAATATATGAAATGATTTAATATCGGGATCACTATCCAAAAAAATTAAACTAACATATTCTTCGAGTGTTTTTCTCTCCACACAGAACAAAGACTGATGACACCTTGGCCTCCAATATATGAAATGATTTAATATTTGGATCACTATCCAAAAAAAATTAAACTAACATATTTCTTCGAGTGTTTCTCTCTCCACACAGAACAAAGACTGATGATACCTTGGCCTCCAATATATGAAATGATTTAATATCTGGATCACTATCCAAAAAAATTAAACTAACATATTTCTTCGAGTGTTTTTCTCTCCTCACTCACATTTCCGTGTGTTTTAAGCGCTAGTTCTGAAAATTAAAAAAAAATATTCTCCTAACTTTCCCTTTTCTGTACTGTACATAGCTTTTGCCTCTGAAGCTAGTTTATTAGTAAATTGTATTACTTTGCTTGCTTTTTGTTATTCAGTGTATTCAGTTTGCATCTGTATTTTTGAGTTAGCATTTCACGCGTTTTAACCTTGATTGCTTTTTTTATTCAGTGTATTCAGTTTGCAACTGTATTTTTGTGTTAGCATTTCAACCGTTTTATTTTGTCTTGCATTTGTCATTTTATGCAGATTCTTCGTCAAGCTATCCGCACGTGGCAGATGTTCTCATACTTAAGAAATTTAACAAAAGTGGGATTTATCCTTACTTCTATTATTTGCATTCTAGTTCAATGTACGCGTTTCATCTTTGGAAATCTGGGTCTTTCATAGGCCTCTCTTTCTCATCATTCCTCCAATTTTACCTTTGGGAAGTGAGGTCAAGACTCATTCAAATGAGCTGTGCCGGGTTTTAAAAGGTAACTGAGCCAGACGCGTCATGCCCTGCGCAACGTGTCCGGCTCATTTACCTTCAGATATCAACTCAATATCCAATTAAATATTGTAATATTAGTATTACTATGTGATCTTAGGGAAACATAGATTTCTTCAAAATAAATAATATTGTGATAGTTGCCAGTCATTTATACATGGTTATTTTTCATTGGTTATGTTCTTACTGTAACCTCCTTCTTGGAAATAAAATGACTCGCAAAACTTTCTTCTCTTGATTTTCGAACGGTAAAATTAGTTAGAATAAAGGAGCGAAATAAGCAAGGAAATAAAAAATTCTTCTCCCCTTACAAAGTCTAGGAATAGAGAATGTGATAACAAAAGGAAGCACATGCGCTATAAATTCAATTTTTCTCCGTGGAGATTGCACCGAGGTTGGTTAAGGATTCTCATCGTGGCCAAAAACGATGCATTAAATGTTGTTGACCAAGATCACATTTACGGCCCTTGACCGCTTGTGGGGGAGGAAGCGCAGGCGCTATGCATTTTATCGTCCGTTGTAATCTCTTTGGGATTTAAATTCTGCTCCCCTGCGCTTTTCGAAATTTTATTACCCAGTGCCTCTCCTAAATTCTATGAACTCTGTATAAGCTGTATTCTTATAAACTTCCTAACTTTTTGCTTCTTAGAGCTCCTTATAAGTCCTAAAATGTTCTTCTTCCTAACTTCTGACATCCGATGTGGCCTCACCGGTTTCCCTCGCTTGGTCATTATTTCTGCGGGAACTTAGTATTTTCTAGCTGACCTAAACAATATGCGAATCTTCGATGTTGCCACATCTAGCCCCTGTAAGGCCAAGTTTCTCATTTAAATTCTTAAATTCTTCAATAAGCACTAGATAGTGGGCATGAACCTGCTTACCTCTGGTAGACACCAGGTAACCCCATTCTCCGTCACCTGTAACCTGTTGCCAAATCTACATGCCATCTTACTATATTTAAAATGATGATCTAAAATCCAGAATAGTCAGATGATTCTGGATCTCGGACTTTGCACTGCAGTTACTAATCTTAAACTAAACAGATAAACTTCTAAAAATAAAACTTCAAGTTTAGACAGTCTTACATAAAAGACCAGCTACGGTTGAATTTAACAATATTATCAGGTCAAAACACAATTAACTTAGATAACAAGTGCAAATTATTATTGTTGACTTCAGCTATTAACTGATTAATGCGCTTTCATTAAGATGAAGATGTCTTAGAAGAGAAGCCAATTTACTGATCCAGTTTGCAAATACATATAAATAAATATTGAAGACAAGTTGTATTGAAGCCAGTTAAATAAATAAATATTATATTCCAAATAATATCATGCGAGCTTCCCAAATTTTTAACTTTACACAGTATGCTTGAACAATCATTTCCAATTTTTTTTTTTGAGGAAACCATTTTAATTTTCTTAAACTTTGTTTTGCTAAACTAAAAGAAAAGATTTTTTTTTTAAATACATCACCATAAGCATAAATTCCTAAAACTATATTCTGACTTTTAATAACAATATCATTTATGGCTCAAGTATGGATTAACATAGCTGCATAAAATGCACACAAATTTAAGTCCACTTAAGTATGAGAGCAGTTTAAATATTATGCACTTATTCGCTAATGACACATGTATGAAATAAAAAGCTTTTTCAATATTTTCTTACTCTTAATGTTAGTTTCGACGCTAAATTCGGAAACGGCCTTAATTAAGTAACCATGCATCATTTTTCACAAATGTGAAATCGTTTTGTGTCTCATATAAACATGTCATTGTATTGATACGATACAAATGATACAATATTTGCTTACTTTACATATTAGTAGAAGATTTGTCTTCAAAACGTATTTTTTGTGCTTTGCTTTATGTACTTCGATATAATTCTTCCTTTGTTTCCAATTTTCACTATTTCCAACTGTAATAATATTAATAGCTAATCTAATATAATTAGATTAATATTACATTAGATTAGGTACTAATATTATTACAGTTATAAGGTATTTTCTCTCTTCTTTCAGTATGCGTTCGTGGTGTAACTGGAAGTACACTCGACGTGTATTTGAGAGGTTCAGGGTTCGAATCCCAGCCAGAGCATCGCATATTTTTCACATCCCCAGCATCAAAAATCCTAATGCATCTACAGTAGCGCTCGAATCTAAAAAAGGTGGGGGACGATAATTCGCAGCATTATTATTTGGCAACTGGGTCTTCCCTTTAAAAGGGGAGTGTATAAGGTATTTTCTCTTTCCTTTCCGCATGGCTTCCTGGTGTAATTGGAAGCATACTCGACGCGTCTTTGAGAGGTACTGGGTTCGAGTCACGTTTGTCCACGACTATTCGGATAAAATTAACATATTGTTAACATTATATGATAAGAAAAAAAATGCTCTTTAAAATAACTATCAGATTTAATATAAATATAACCAGAAATTTATAAATATGTAAATTAACCCCTTCGCGCCGACTGTCACGTCTATGTGCCAGCAACGAACACACTCACCTACCGGCCGACAAGCAGGCGTGACAGAGCATTTTCCCGTTTACTACCTACTGTCACGTATTTGTGCCAGCGTCCTGGAACGTTTTTCAAACTATAATTTCTGCCACAAGATGGCACTGTATGTCCATATGGTTTCAGATACATGTACATTAGATCTTCCACTCGAAATGAGAGAAGCATTACTCACATACACGTGTTTTTGATTATATAAACAAACGGGGAAGTAAATGTTTCCGAATGGCGTGATTTATGACATCTCTTTAAATCGCACTTTATTCGCACGTGGTAGTTGTTTATTGTAAGTAGAAGTTTTATATGCGCTAAAGCGTTGAGTATTTCGGTTTACAGTTCAGTTTTTAGAAAATAATTATATCTTGTTAGATGTGAATTATTTCTGTTTTTACCGTTGCAATGTCGAAGCGTCGAAAATGTTTAACAGAGCATGAAATAGCATTTCAAATGATGCAAAATATTTCATGAAATGATGCAAAATATTTCAGATGTTGATTCTGAAATTCTGATATTCTGATATTGATTCTGAAAGATTAACTGAAAGACATTTTCCAAAACTTTGTTCAGAAGAGACTGATAAGAAAATGAGACGACGATGCTTCGTTTGTTCACATTCCCGGAAAAATCCTCCAAAACGGCAAATGAGTTATTACAAGTTCAAGGAATGTAACGTAGGACTGTGTGTAGATCCCTGTTTTCAAATTTTTCATACGGAAAGAGAATTTTAAGTAATATATTTAGTTTTCAGATGTATAATGGTAAAAGTCATAAAATGGTGAGTAATTAAAATAAAATGTGTAAAATATGCATTTAAACAAGAAATAAGGTAATTAAAGTGTATATATATATAAATATCTATAAAGCATAAGCTGTTTAAATACTCTATAGAGGATTATTAAACAATGCGTTGATACTTCGAAATTTCATGAATTTAGGCTTAGTAGTAAAAAAGCCCCCGGCCCTGGAGAGACGCTCGCGGAAGACACTGCCGGCCTCCGCGATAAGCGCGCGTTTTCGCTACCCGGCTCGAAGGGGTCCTGGTGTAATTGGAAGCATACTCGAGGCGTGTTTGAGAGGTATTGGGTTCGAGTCACGTTTGTCCACTACTATTCGGATAAAATTAACATATTGTTAACATTATATGATAAGAAAAAAATGCTCTTTAAAATAACAAACAGATTTAATATAAATATAACCAGAAATTTATAAATAGGTAAATTAAAAGCATTTTGAGCAGAAAAAAGCAACACTTTATTTATGAAGTGTTCGTAATTTGTTTAATGCAAAAGCTAATTTCCGAAATACTCATAACATTTCTAGGAATTAAGCCATTCTGTACACCTTATCTCAGTACTTCAAGGACATCCTTCATTGGAAAAAAAAGAAAAAAAATTGGAAATGATTGTTCAAGCATACTGTGTAAAGTTAAAAATTTGGGAAGCTCGCATGATATTATTTGGAATATAATATTTATTTATTTAACTGGCTTCAATACAACTTGTCTTCAATATTTATTTATATGTATTTGCAAACTGGATCAGTAAATTGGCTTCTCTTCTAAAACATTTTCATCTTAATGAAAGCGCATTAATCAGTTAATAGCTGAAGTCAACAATAATAATTTGCACTTGTTATCTAAGCTAATTGTGTTTTGACCTGATAATATTGTTAAATTCAACCGTAGCTGGTCTTTTATGTAAGACTGTCTAAACTTGAAGTTTTATTTTTAGAAGTTTATCTGTTTAGTTTAAGATTAGTAACTGCAGTGCAAAGTCCGAGATCCAGAATCATCTGACGATTCTGGATTCATCATTCATCATTAATATCATTTCAATGCAAAATTAAAAGTTAGCAAAAAAAGATACTTTAGTAGATATTTTCATGCATTTTACCTCAGGATCAAGGAAAAAAATTAAAAATGTATAATGTTCCGTAAAAATGTATGTTATTTTGATCATATTACTCAATTATTGATCACAATAAGCGAAACATGTTTTTATACACAAATGGGGAGAGGCCTTTGGAAATTCGACTGTAATGCCCGAACGATAACATGCATCTACAGTATGTTTGGTATTGCGTTGAGAGATTTCCGATTTAAAATATTTTAATAATACTTACTTGATGAGATGGTGTTGCTGTAAGTAATGTAGTCTGGGCTGCTTCTTGTGCTGCTAAAATTTGAGCAGCTTCCCGTTGTGCCGAGAGGAAGTTCTTAGCCTCTTGAGCAGCTAAGAGTTTCTTTACTTCCAACAGTTTTCTTGCTCTTCGGGCTGCCAAAATCTGTTGAGACAGTTGAGCTTCAGCCATTAGCTGTCCCTCTGTCAGCAGGGGCATAGAAGGACTCATAAATAGGGGACTTTTGGCAGAAAATAGAGAACTTTCTTGATTTAACATGAGATCTGCATCTGAGAATGGAAAAGACATCGAAGCATGAGGTTCGATCAAATCATCTTGAAGCAAAGCAGGATGGGCATGTAAGTCTAGGGGATATCTAGAAGAAAATGACTACCATTAGATATGCACATATCTAACACAACAGGTAATTTTTGAATTCAATAATGACTGAAGTGAACAAGTCTGACATTTCCATAATTTGCAAAATTTATAAGTAGTAAAATTTTTATTTCTGTATTTAACGTTATAGTATTTAACAACTTCATTTAATATTAAAAAATAATGTAAAAGATTAATATACAAATGTAAACTATTTGTTAACAAATGCTCAGTAGACGTCAATAAAAAGAATTCATATCTGCCTGGTTAAAATGTAGAATTCCTTTTCATTGATATGATCTCTCAGAAGGACATTATAATTCTTCTGAACTACATTATAATTCTTTTAAGCATTCAAGCTAAATCTATTAAATTCCGTAAGGAGAAAAAGCATCCAGTTTTGGCGCACATTTGGAAGAGAGTTTACAGATTTACAGGTCGATCTGATGTAGGTTCGTCTTCTTCGAAGCATTTCTATTTGATTGTTAAAATAATTTTGAAGTAATTCAAAGCTTCAGATTATGACAATTTGCAGAAAAGTTTACGGGAAATTTGATTACTTCTTATATCTATTGCTCTATTCAGTATTCATTTTTTTTTGCATTCAAATATGTTTTTCCTATTACATTACTGATATTTAAGTATATTTCTTTGATACTATTATCATTACATGACTATACTACTTTCCTTAAATATTATCATTACTTTCTCAAATACTTTTTTATTTATGTATGCCCTATTGGGAAAGGAGTTATAATTTAAGCGAGGAAATTCCAATTTACTTTAAGAAAGATTAAACATTTTTAAACAATCTTTTCTATATGGAAAAGGTTCTTTTCTATTAAATTTCGATATCACTGTATTAAATATGTAACATGAAATTATTTTTTAATCAAAACATATATATACAATAGAAGAACAGTCATCATCATCTAGATATTCACTATATTCTTTATCTAGAACAATTCTAGTTATTCACGAGGTCTCCGTTTAAGGAGAAATATAACAATATGAGTGTAATACAGTACATGTGCATAAAATCTTGTCAAAAATGAAAAAAAGGGGTTTTTTTCCTAATGTGAGAAAAAGTAGTAATAATTTTGCCCGCCCTTTGCTTGTATTTATTCTACAGTAATGTGACGTTTTGGTATTAGTCGCTATGCTGCTGTAGAAAATCTACTTGTGAAAATATATTTGTCAGGCCTGCGGTCAATAATGTCAGACATAGATGCTTGGCACTTCGTTCACGTTTCGATTCATATCAAACGTTTTCAGAGTGGAATTCTTATGAGGTGAGTTTAATGGTATGGGAGATATATTTAGTCCTTAAGGATCCATTGATCCATCCTCTATTATGTCAGTGAAATTCTGACATTCATTTCAATAAAGTTAGGCCCTTCGGTCGATAAAAAATATGTTAAGAAAACTTTTATGAATATATATTTACTTTTATTGGTCCAATTAATATAATTTCATTGCATTCAGTTCTAGAATTTCATAAAACATTTTTTAATAATTTTAATAATAAACCAAAGCATTGCTTTGTCGTTTGCATTAATTTGATCAATTGTTCCAGTCCAACGAGCCCACAAGCGGCCGAGTGGTAACTGACCTAGGTTCGATTTCTGGCGAATAGACTGGCTGTATGAGAGGATTTTGGTATTTTTCCATGTGTAACGTGTATACGAGCTAGTTTCCCTTAGAAAATGCTCCACGGAAACATCCATTCCATTACGCAGATAACCCTCATGTGCTCTGTCGTAATCAAATAAACCAAACCAAATGATCCAGTCCGAATGTTCTAGTTTTTGGATGCAAAAACAATTTGCGATGATCTTCAGTGTATAATGTACCTCATTATAAGTTTATAATGTACCTCATTATAAGTGTATAATGTACCTCATTATACGATCTTTTTAACATGACAGCTATAATAATGCCCCGAAAACGCCCGGAATGAAGCAAAATCTTTCATAGTCTTATGTTTTAGGGCACAAAAGCATTTTATGTTTTAACAATTAGATACAAAGTCTTTCCTTTAGACCATCTTATCTAAATTATTCTTGGTATAGTTCTATGCTATTTTTCTTGGGAATACTGATATTAGCTCAAATACCAATTTTTAGCCTAAAGATCGTTAGCCCAGAATCAATTTCGTTTTGGCATTTTCTGGCTTTTGACTATAAACGGCGTTTAACTTTTCAAATTGTTGCCACAAAATATTATCGTCCTGTCTTATATTTAAAGAAATTAAATAATGAAGAATCTGAATAAAATGTATGTCTCTCGCATTGTGCTAAAACAACGGTACTTAGATCCATCAAATTTTGGATAACGTTCGTCTCGACCCGAATATTAGCATCTGGAAACTGGAATTTAGAATTTGTTGTATTATCATTTCATATTTTGTAAAGCATTTATGAGTTTTTGGTTAAGAAACTCAATGATTTCAAAGAGAGCAATGGCAACACTGTACGAAAAAAAAGGCATTTTTATCTCCAGTGCGCGAGACTGTGTATCGGAAATTCTAAAGCTATGCTCTTTTTTTTATTATTTTGTGATATTGCTGTTGAATTGAAAGTTATAGTTTAAGTGCGAAGAACATGATATTTAATAAATAAAGTTAACACACAAAGCGTTAAAAAAGCCCCTTTGGGCGTAATATAAAATCTGAAATGAATGGTTATTTTAAAAATGAATGGTCATTTTATTTAAAAATATAAGACAAAATTCAGTCAAGCATCTAAAGTTTTCAAATTGCAATATAAAATTTCGAAGAAAGATTTGCCTTTAAAGGAAATGTAAAAGGCTATGAAGTTTAAAAAAATATTTTGCATCAACTGTGTAGCGTATGGTGCTAGAAATATCACTGATAAGTTTAAAAAATTAAGGTTCTAAAATTATTAATTTTGTATAAAATTATTTATTTTGTTCTAAAATTATTTATTTTTATAAAAATTATTTATTTTGTTCTAAAATTATTTATTTTGTATAAAATTATTTATTTTGTAGCATAAATAAATGACTTTTATTTAAATCAATCAGATTAAAATGTGAAAGAAATTTAAGATTGTTTAGAAAATTAAGAAATTAAATAAACTGCGTTGACTGCTTTTACATATGAACATATGATGTTTTGTAGCTCCGTTGCGGGTAGCGACTAACTGCTATAATAATTCGAAGTGTGTTGACCTCGGAAAACCTTGTTTTAAGTTATAATTATTTAAATTTTGGTTTGTTTATTTTTATTTATTTATTTATTCATTTGTTTATTTTATTTTATTTATTAGCCCAAAAGGGGCTGTTAGTCTCGAAATGGGTTTTTGTATCCAAACACTATAAAAGCGCTGTTTCAATTTTCATTCGATTCTGTTGCCATTCTTAAGAATTTAAGATGCTTATCTTTCAAACTGAATATGTCTGTCCTGGATTAATAAACTAAACTATTTGAACAGTCTGTTGTAGAATTAACTGAATCTGTCTGCTGTGGACTAACAATCTAAGCTATTCTTAAGATCAGATGAAGTCCTTAAGAATATTCGATTCTTACTTTTAAATTGAATTGGTTTAAATAATAATAATGCATTTAATTCATCATTTATCTAATTAAAAATATTCAGTATTTTCATAGAATGATGCCATATATTTTTTATTATTTATTTCATGTTTTGTAAAATTTTATGAATTTTTGATTAACAAACTTAACGATTTGAAAGTGAGCACTGGCAACACTATACGGAATAAAACATTTTTATCTCCAGGGCGCGAGATCGTCTATCGCAAACTCTAAAGATATGTTGTTTTTAAATATTTATAATATATATTTTTATTATCGTTTGAGTGATACAAAAAGGGATGGAAGTTACAAGCTTAAAATGTTAAGCAGAATTTTAAATTTTTGATATCCCAGGCTTTAAATCGTATTGCATAGAATTAAAGAATAATCAACTGGAATGCTAAAAATTGCGTCTTTACAGTTCGTATTGAAAAAAATGCTTCGACAATTATTTTGTTCTTGTGGTATTTACATGTTATCCCGCCGACCTTGAAACTGTCGCCAAGCAACGTGATTTGAACCAGTTATGGACATCGTGACATAGTACACTCACAGCATCTGCGCTGTTTTGTTAGATGTAAACCCGATTGATTCCTGATAAGCAACCTTTTGTTTTTTTATGAACAAGACTATAAATTAACTTTTATTACTATATTATTTTCATACATTTTGGAACAAATGATTATAATTTGGAATTTGCCTTCTACAGAATAAGAAGAATGGGTTTAGTATTAAAGATATGGGATATTACCATTAAAAAATGTGGCTTAACGGACACGATATAGTCAGTTGAGTATGGCCAAGTTACAGGCTGGAACAATAACCTGCGTGAAGTTTGTACAGATAGCTTTATAAATAGATCTTCGGGTAAAATTGGAGAGCCTAGCAAATCACTTATATTTTTGTGTATAAGTCGAAAATTTTTGGAATTTTTTCTAGAGTACGGGGATCGACTAATCTAGGTACTTTCTAATCTAGGTACGGTAATTTGGTCTCCAAAACGGAAAATCTGATGTTGGGAACATTTGCGCCCCGAACTCTCAGCTTTTCGTTTATGGAGAAATGCCGAGAAGCTTTACTGTTTCTAGAATTCTCAGGAAACTCGATCACCCGAAATTGAATCTACCGTACAACCGTACAAATCTACCGTACAACAATTTTTCAGACAAAAATCAAATGACACAGAAAATTGGACTATCACTGATCGCATAAATCGTATACAAAACAACAAACGGATGGGAAAAGTCTTTCTAACTTGAAACTGTATTACCAGTGCATAAAACTATCGTAGTTGGTCTGGCATTTTATTGGTGCCTGGCAATTTATTTACAGCGATTTAATTAGAAAATATTCCACGCATTTTACCTGCTTGGCAACATTTCAGCCCTCATAACGAAATGTTTAATCGTCACAAAAATTTTTCTCCCCCATTTCGGCTTGTATATGGGTTTTTAACTTTGGATAAATTTTTGTGGAAAAAACATATCTCGCTTTATACACGGATCGGCTTACATACGAAAATATACGGCAGTAGAAAAAGACGAAAAAATTTGTAAAGCGTATATTGATTGAAAATTGATTGTATTTTATAGAGGCATCAGTTCCTTCAGAATTCCACAGGAACAATTAATGCAACTTTGGTGTGATCGCCGGCAACGTTCATGGCCGATAGCCAGCTTTCCCAGGTTTCATAGCATATAGCCAGTTTTGTCAAGCTTCATGGCTAGTAGCCACCTTTTCCAGGCTTCATGGCTGCTGGCTGATGGCTCCAGGCTTCATGGCTTCAGCTTTGCCAACTTTCACGGATGGCAGCCGACTTTCAAATTGCATGAATGGTAGCCAATTTTACCATCATTCATGGCTGGTAGCCAACTTTCACAGATGACGGGATAATATTAAATTACCCTTCTTACTCAGAAGTATACCCTAATGTTTTAATATATTCTGCTAAAATAAATAAATGCAATTGAAATCAATGTTAAGTAGCTAAGAATTGCATAAAAAAATGTAGAATTGCTTACCTTGGATGACCTCCGTATCTAGGCGGATACCTGGGACCTCCTATCAATGCATGTAATAAATGTCGCCCAGCAGAAGATGCTTGATGCTTAGCACGATGGTTGAGTAACTTGGCGAGAATACCCGTAGCTAGCAACAGCTCTACAGCACCCGTTCCTCTGTTGTGATGATGCCCCTTAAATCCTCCCATCAGACCTTGGGACTGGACAGTCGTTAAAGATGCTAATAAGAAAAGGGCAGCCACCAGAGGTAAGATACTTCTGCCCTTCATGTTGTTTGTTTAATCTAGATGAATGTATAAACTTGTTATAATTATGTATATTAATAAAACATTTTAAAATTCACTTGCAAAGAATGAAATCAATCTTTTAGTTCAAAATACTACATTAAAGACAGCAAAGGTAATAATAATTCTATTTTTAGGAATCAGTAACTAGGAAGAATTAAAAAGCAGCTAAAATAGTTACAGTAGGGGTCTAATTCCAGGAGATTGGTAATATTTTTTCCACGCGTTAGTTAATCTTTCTTTCATTGAAAATATACATAAATATAGGGGGAAAGGTAATGAAGAAAAATTCTTCTATGAAAGCTTCTCTAAATGAGGATTTTTCAGTAAATATAAATAAATAGATGACTGGAGAAGAATGCTTCAAATATAAATTTGGTAATTAAGATAAAATAACACGCCGAACAAGTATTAATTTAGAAATCAAACAACAAAAATCAGCGTTATATTTGCAAATTTTCACAGAACTGGTTTCGATGGTTTTACCAAACCAATATCCTCAGCTGCCAAAGCGCAAATGAACGAGAATACGCTGATTTTTGTTGTTTGACTTCTAAATTAATAAATTTATTAGTCAATGTCATTTATTGACAAAATTATGAAAAATAAAGCATACATATGTGGAGAAATATCGTCTTGTAGTACGTGCAAAAACAAATGTTTGTGTATAGGAACTGACTCAGATCAAAGTGATTTCTCTCACTTTAAAAACTTCTGGACATCAATTAATTTAGTAAGAGCATCTTTTATTTTTTCTAGAGTCCGTTTAAGACTTAGTTTTCAGGAAAATTCTACGTTCATAATATACTACTGAAATGCAATAGTGCATGTTTTCAAATATAGAGGGAAAAAATCACTTCTAAGACCAGTATATAACGGTTATTGTGATATCAAATTGCTTGAGATTAAACTCTTAGTTCTCATAGCAATAACATAAAAAATGTCACCTAAAGTCTTTAAATTTCAATTAAATACAGCGATTAAAATTCTAAAAATTTTATCATTTATAAGATACCTTAAAATCATTCTTTTAAAGATAAAATATTTTTAAAACAGGAACTTATAACATTCACTGTTTGTAAAAATCAAATTGTAATTTAAATGGTTTGATTTTTTTTCAATTACAGGAAAGCACTTCGGCGCTATCTGCCTAAGGGAAGGGATGCCTTCGTGGAAGACTTTCTAAGGGAAACTGGCTCATGTACATGTTACATATGGGGAAAACCACAAAAACGCTCATGCAGCCAGCCTGTTTATATGATTTGAACCTCGGACCAAACTACCAGTTTCCAGTGACTCTGCCGTTCGACCACTAATTTAAATGTAAATATAGAATTATGCTCATTTGTTCCATATATTTAAATCTGTAATAGATACTTAATTATAAGAATAATACAGTACTTTCTTTATTTTGAAAGAGTAAAATAAAAGAAATATGAAGATAATTGCGTTTAAACATTATACTAGTAAGTTACATGAGCTATATTACTAATAAGCTATATTACTATATTACTAATAAGCAACAATGGTTAATCTTTGAATTATGGTAACTTGGCGATTTTTTGGCGAAAATTTGGAGACCAACCCTGCTACAGCAACCTGCTAGTTTTTCTTTGGACGCCATTTTGTTTTCACGAAGTAAAGGCATGTTTTTTTTTTTTTTTACTCAACATTTTTTTTCCAACAATATGCTAGCCGAATTACGCTTATGCTCGAACTTTTATGGAACAAAAGTGCTTAATCATGACGAATAATTAGGTGCGAAATTGGGAGAAAGTGCAGAATCGCCCACTGCTTGCCGCATTTTTAAGAATTTGCACATACACGGTATCATTCATGTACACGTCGACCTATTTTCACTTAAAAAAACATCCCAGAATTGCACAAAAATGGCATTGCACACACTCTTGACTTTATCCACGTACATTGCTAAAGTCCTAGCTAGTAACCTTTATCGACTTACCAAAGTGTCGCCAAACTGCCTGTTACCATATTCCAAAGATTAGCCGCAACAATTCTCTAACAAATCGAATAAGCGAAGGCATGAAACTCGCTACAGTATGAATAGCATGAGAATGAGAATGAGAGAATTAGAATAGAAAATAAATCCAAGTTTCAAGTTGTACATACATTTTGATTCATTGCGATGAGGTTAAACGAAGATGATCAATAAATGAATAATATTAAATAAAGACCGAACGAACGTTAATTTTATTATTTTATTTTACAACATATATCAAACTTTGGGTGACAATGAGCAGCAAGTTAACAAAATCAATCAACTCATGAAGTACACGATGTTTCAAAGGCGAATATTATATCACCCTGTAAAATATTTTTAATACAAAAATTATAAGTTACAGCATTTTTAAAATTTTAAATTGTAATTTAAACCTAAATGTATAATTATGATTGTTTATATATTTGTTTGTTTTAGCCAATAATATATCCTTAATTAGAATATGTCTTAAGAAACCCCTATAATACTGGTTACAATTACATAACAACAGTTAGGTGTTTTCTTTAAAAGAGAAGACAAAAACGCAAAAGTAAAACTTAAAATTAGGCAAAACAACAGCTTTCTGTTTGAATGACTTGTTCGCTCTCAAGTCGGCAAAATCTCAATTAAAGTCAAAGTCAAACGTAGGGTTTTTGTTTTGTCTATGAGCGTATCTGATGTCACATCAACGCGTTTAAAAGTAAAACTACTCGGGAATCATTGCACGTTTTCTTTAAAATAAACTGCAAATCGTTTCGCTTTCTATATTTTTTTTAAAAAACGTCAAGGTTGCAGCCAGCGGACCTTGATGTTCTGATGGAAAGTGTCTTCCCCGCAACGCTCCATTTCCACGTGCTCAATCCGTTGTCGGCCTCATGCCTCCATTTTTGAACGAACTTGTATTCCTCTAGGTAAGCCTTCAGGGTATATAGACATGCTTCTTTCCCATTCACCTGAATAGCGATATGACTAATTTGACTTCAAAAGGTAAATCCCATATAGCTCATAGCCTTGCAAATTCCTTCTCCTAAGGAAAGGATTCGTGAAAGTGTGTTAGCAAGTAAATACCAATTTTTTTCGGCAGATTTTGGCATACTTTATTTTATTTTATTTATTTATTTTTTTGCAACTGTTGCGTTCTAATTTGTTACACATATTAAGCAATAAAATCTAGTAACGTGCAAAAATCGAGATGTCGTTAAACCCTTAATGAAGCTTTGGGAGAAAAAGTGTAATTTTATACCATTTCTTTTTGAAAGTTTTAAAGAAATAGTTCTAACTTTTAATTGCTATGTAGGGTTTATATTTATTTTAACTAACATTTATTTTAAGTTTAAACTATCTTTCCTGTCAAGCCTTACTTTCCCCTGGAACTGCCAATGCCAGAATATGTAAATTTGAGTAGAACGCGCAAGGATTCAAATTATCAGCGGAAGTATTATGATTTAAATAGGAAGGAAACAAGTTCGGTGTGTGAGATTCTTACTTCACGAGCGCGGAGGTAGTTAGCGAGAAAATTGAAGAACCCCGCGTTTCGGCCTATGTGCTTGGCGGGAAGTAGTGTTAATCGTTCAAGTGAGCTTCAAGTCTGCTGAATTAGCAGCGGTAGTGTAAAACGCGGTGAGTTAGTTATTTTAGAGAGCCTCGTAGTTAGAGTCTTGTCTTTAGTTTCTTTTCAGGTTATTATTTTTATTTGACCGCCGAGTTGGCGCAGTCTGTGAGCGTCAAGAGCACGCACTTGTAATTTATTACGTTGAATAAAAAAGGACTTAAACCCTTCACAAGACTGTATTTTTCACAGTCACCTCTTGGTTGCGTGCAAGTTGGAGGCGCGCAACGTTACAGCTATAAGAACAAATCTTTATCATTAAACTGGAGTTCAAATGGCTCCAGATTACGGTACTTCTCAGGTTCTGAATGAAACTGTAATTACAACCGCAACTCCTAAATAAAATGAGTTCTATTAATTTTATTTTATAAATAAAAACAATATTAAACTATATTTATATATAAACTGTTGTGATTAATTTATTAATTTTAAGTCTTTATTTTAATTTTTTATTAAGCTTTTTACGTTTAATTTAATTTTAATTATTTATTTTGTTATTATATTTTTTATTTAAGTTCGTTTATGCTAGCAGCTTTCTGTAACGTTCCAGTGCTTCTAAATTTAGACATTAAATCTTGTAGGATCTAGTTACTAATATAAAAAGAGTACATTGTGTTAAATCCTGATCTTACTCCCATTAAAAATAATCTTAAAAACATTTGGCCTATTTGTGAAGAAATTATTGTATAATTTGGGAAAAAAACTCTTCCTTTAAGGAGTAATTTGGCAATTTAGAAAGAAAGAATAGCAAAAATATGAAGGTAGAATTTAGATCATAAATTCTCAAAGGAAAATAACTGGAATTAGTTCGAATATTAGCGAATTTTATAAAAAGCGAATACAACTACTTTAAGCGCTTTACACAGACTGGTAGCGTTCATAAATATAAAAAAAAATACAAAATTGTTTTTTAATAAATTTTTTACTGTATTCAAAATGAAATTTAATCCTGTTTTTTCATTAATTTGAAGTGAAAAATCGTAGCAACTTTTACGACACGTGTGTATAAAAATTAATTTAATATTTTGGTGAAACTATCCTATATCTATTAAACCATAATTTAAGGAGAAGTGTGCAATATATATCTTAAACACAGAATATTTTAATATGGCATTTTTAATATCAGAATGATTAAAAATAATTTTCAAATTCTTAAAAGTTCCTTAAATCTGCGAGGATTTGCTGAAAGATCGTGATCCTTTCCTCCCCACTGCCATTAAGAAAAAAATAAGAAATAAGTTTACATTAGAAATAATTGATAAGTGATTTTAGAAGATAATAATAAGTTATTTTAGATAATAATAAGTGATTTTAGAAGAAAAACTCCGTTGTTGAAATTCAGTTATTTAATGTAAGCTTATAATATTTCCCATTATAACTGCTGAGACTAA